ACAATAAAGTATTTGATCTCCATTTTCATATTGTAAACCTAACAAGTACATCACATTAAAGCTACTTTTTTTCAGTAAATTTATGCACTAAAATGAGCAAACTCTAATTTGTCGACTCTAAAATCCAATGAATTCCTGTCAAGACTAAACGATTCTCACTAACCAACCATGTAATTCCCTTTCTCTAATATCAATTCTTTTTCCTTCACCAAATCAAGCTAACTCAAATTTGGCCAATGAGGAAATCCTAACAACCTTTTCCCATCACAACCGAAAAACAATTCTCATCAATAAACCACATAACTATCTTTCCCTGTTTTTTCAGTAATTCTGTTCTCATGAAGGAATCACATAACGTTTCCCGATTTACCTTCCTTTTTCTTCACTGAATCTATTCTCATTAACCAACCCCATACCTACCTTTCCCTAACATGCTATCCTTTCAGGCGTCCTGTGGCAGGGAGCCCAGGGCATGGACATCATCCCTCGCTCTCGTGAAGCCCTGGAACGCCTCAAGCAGATGGGCAAGAGAATATTCCTTATCACCAACAATTCCACCAAAACCCAGGACCACTACTTTGCAAAGTGCCGACAGCTGGGATTCAGCGTGGAAAAGGTGAAGGGAGTCGCGAACCCCACGGAGGAGAAAGGAGAGGAGGGGAGAAACGGTGGAGGGGAGAGGGAGAGCCAGAGATGACTCACCATGAAGGAGGCTGAATGGGAAAGAGAGGGAGAATTGAGGAAGGGGAGAGGGAGAGGGAGAGAGAATAAAGGAAAGAGAGAGGGAGAAAGAATAAAGGAAAGGGAAGGGAGAGGGAGAGAGAATAAAGGAAGGGAAGAGGGAGAGAGAATAAATGAAGGGGAAAGGGAGAGGGAGAGAGAATAAAGGAAGGGGAGAGGGAGAGGGAGAGAGAATAAAGGAAGGGGAGAGGGAGGGGGAAAGAGAATAAAGGAAGGGGAAAGGGAGAGGGAGAGAGAATAAAGGAAGGAGAGAGAAAGAGGGAGAGAGAATAAAGGAAGGGGAGAGGGATAGGGAGAGAGAATAAAGGAAGGGGAGAGGGAGAGGGAAAGAGAATAAAGGAAGGAGAGAGGGAGAGTGAGAGAGAATAAAGGAAGGAGAGAGGGAGAGGGAGAGAGAATAAAGGAAGGGGAGAGGGAGAGGGAGAGAGAATAAAGGAAGGGGAGAGGGAGAAGGAGAGAGAATAAAGGAAGGGAGAAGGAAAGAGAATAAAGGAAGGGGAGAGGGAGAAGGAGAGAGAATAAAGGAAGGAGAGAGGGAGAGGGAGAGAGAATAAAGGAAAGAGAGAGGGAGAGGGAGAGAGAATAAAGGAAGGGGAGAGGAAGAGGGAGAGAGAATAAAGGAAAGAGAGAGGGAGAAGGAGAGAGAATAAAGGAAGGGAGAAGGAAAGAGAATAAAGGAAGGGGAGAGGGAAAAGGAGAGAGAACAAAGGAAGGGGAGAGGGAGAAGGAGAGAGAACAAAGGAAAGGGAGAGGGAGAAGGAAAGAGAATGAAGGAAGGAGAGAGGGAGAGGTAGAGAGAATAAAGGAAGAAGAGAGAAGTGAAGACTGAAAGGAAATTGGAAAGAGAGGGAGAGGATAGTAGAAGCACAAGAGGAAGGATAATTTGATAATGAATGAGAAAGTTTAAAGGTAAATTGTTATTAATATTTCTCATTCTATTCTCAGACACTTTCCTTTTGTTGTTCCTTTTATCTTTTCCTTTTTGGAGTTTCTGTATATTTTTCTTACTTTCATTCAAATATGAATTTCTCTTACTTAACTTCAGCATAACTTTTCTTTTTCTCAACGTGACTTTCCTCACTATTTTTTTCCCCTTCATTCTATTATAACACTCTTTTATAGATTCAAGAAACTCACTCTCTTTTCTCCCTCTTAGCATAACTCAAAATCCATCATTGATTTGCAGGACCACATCCTGAGTTCCCCGTACATCGCAGCACAGTACCTCAAGGAAATTGGCTTCAGCAAGAAGGCTTACATCGTAGGCTCTCCCGGCCTCGCAGAGGAAATTCAGAAAGTCGGAATTACTACCGTTGGTACTGGTGTAAGTATCATACTGTTTCGTGTGCTTGATTTCTATTCTCTTATAATGATTTTTGGTCTTTTTTTTTATTAGATTTTTTAATCTACATGAAACGAGGCAGTTCTTTATTGGTGTGTTTGTTTTCTTGATGTTTCATACGGTAGTTATCTTATTAGGATGAGAGAATAGTTAAAAGAAGCAAGAAGTATTTCCCATTATGGTTTGATACTGCTTCTTTCCTCTCTGTCAGTTCCATAAATCATTTCAGTCTTCCTTATTCTGTCTATTCCTTATCTAGTCTTCTTTTTTCCCAACCATTTGTTTTCTCTTTCCCACCTGCTCTTCCTTAAAATGCAAGATATTTCATTTCCATTGCTATATATTACAGCAAAAGGTTGATGTGTTCCGACAGGTAAAGTTTATTTAGAGCTATTCAACCTGTGATTTCTTAATGCATGAAATATGTCAATCTCTGTGCCTTGAAAGTCTTCATAGGATTTCAGAAACCTCACAGGAATGACTTACAGTACCACAATGCTAGATGCATCGTGGAGTGACTTACAACTCCAGAAACAAGAGTATACTTAACAATTTCTCTATGCAAAGTGTGCTGATTTCAGTTTCAGATCATGGTGAATTAATGGCCAGTGTAGTCAACTAATATGAAGAGTCTTAGGAATGAATCTACACTTGATTTCAAGTCAGTAGCAGCTTAGTGCTTGGGGCTTTCATCTGTAATCAGTTTCGTAATGGCATCTACAACTTTAGAAATTTAATAACCACTGTATAACACACTGGCTTGATATATTATTGATAGTATGATCTGTATTAGTGCTTTTCCCAAAACCTTGAGTCTCTCACTTGTAATCAACTCCACCTTTTCTTGTATGAGTTTAGAACGTTAATATATAACCAATAAATAACATGCTGCTGGTTTGGTCTATTATCACCGTTACCATTATAAATGAATATTTGCTCCTTTTCTGTACTGTCACTCACACAGTTGGAAGTTTATTTAACACTGTGGTTAAGTAGCAATAGTGATGGTGTGTGATTTTCCATATATAGATGTACGCATCTTAGTGTACAGGTATTAGTATAAAAAATGTACAAATAATATGAATAGATTCAAAAATGTATTGATGGACAGATGAAAATATAAAAGTAGATAGATAAATTAGAAGAACAGATAAAAAAGGCACAAGAATAGAAGGGGAGGTAAGATGAAGAAATGACTTAATGTATGAATGAATGTGAAAAGATAGAAATATGAATGAATGACCTGACTAGTGGATTAATAAATGAATAAACTGACTGGTGGATCAATGATTGAATAACTACAGTCAATCAATGAATAACAATTAATTACTGGTGAGTTGAGTTTTCAACTTTAAATGAATATGATAAGAATTTATGAACAAATACCACTTAATGTATAAATTTTATAGTTCAGTTTCTTTATATTATATTAGTATATGGTTTATATAAAGGGAATGTATAATATTTTGTGCTAATATATATGTTAAAAAGATCACATGAAAAGTTTAAAATGCAACCTGCTTGTACTTTTTGAATGACTTTCACTGAATGCATTTCTAATGTAATACTTTAGAATTCAATTACATTATGCTACAGCTGATCATGGCTGAATATTTTTGTTTGAGGAATAAAAAATGACAAGTTGTGTTACATACTTTTAATTCACATTGTTTTTAGGTGAAAGAATTGTTTTAAAAGTACTGTTCTTTTTCATTTATATACTTATATTACAAATACAAATACCTTGAAGACTTTTGTCATATGTGCCCACACACACACACACACACACACACACACACACACACACACACACACACACACACACACACACACACACACACACACACACACACACACACACACACACACACGCACACACTTACACACACACACACACAAAGAGTCCTAATGAATCTAAATGATTTTAGAAGCATCCCTGTTTAAATAATTGGCATTACTGAAACCTCTTTATATAAAGGACATCAATAATAAAAACACTAATTATGGCAATAAAGTAGTAGTTGGAACATTAAATGGAACATTAAAAGATAAGCTTGGACTTTAGATTAATGAAAAAAAAAAATCTGCTTGTGACTGGAGAGGGATGAGAACCTCAGTGTGAATTTCTCCAGTTTAGTAAGATGCAGCAAAGCCATACACAGTAGAGCTCTACATAAAACGCAACTGAAAATTCATAATACACACAGACTTCCTGAGTACATTACTTTTTTCATTTGTCTGTACCCACCACAACTTTAACTACTGTACTACCTCTAATGATAGATAATCATAGACAGAAATAGCATTCATTTACTGACAGGGACAACAACAAGTACCTGGGTTGATTTCATGTTAGTTTCCTTTATTTACTTATGCTGTAGCTGTTATATTTTATGTCTAAATGCATTTTTATTGTGAATATCAGAGCAAACAATATGAATTGGCATATCCATAGTAAAAGGAAGAGTCTGGAGAGGCAATAGATATATATTTCCTGTTTACATGACCCCGGCAAAATCTACTTCATATAATACACATGTATTCACATATTCAGTCTTACAATGTATTCACATATTCAGTCTTACAAAAGTTATAGATCCTTTGTAAATCATTTTAATCAGTACCCTAATTAAAGTGTCTGCATTTTCACTTCCAGCCTGAAACGATTGAGGGCCCCCTGTACAATGCCGTAGTTGAAGGAAAGTTAGGCCTTGACCCTGAGGTTGGGGCCGTGGTCGTCGGCTTCGACAGAGACTTCAACTATGACAAGCTCCTCCGGGCCACATGTTACCTCAAGGACCCAGAGTGCTTGTTCATAGCTACGAATACTGATGAGAAGTACATAGTGCAGGGAACCAATTATCACTTGCCAGGTGAGCTTGGAATAGATATATTCATGCTTTTGTGTTTATACTTT